CCCATCTCTCGAACACATTTGCAAGTCCCTGGGTTCAAACGAAATAAGTTTGACTAAAATATATTTTTGTTATCAATTACAGCAAAAAGAGTTTCCTCCACTAAAATTACATAGGGGAAATACCCACCCAACATCGGCAGAAAAATATACATGAAAACACCATACTTTCAAGAGCGCATTTTATCATGAAAGTCAATGCTCTACATCAATCCTTTTTCCAGTCTACGAAATTTGCGTCAACAAAAAACCATAAAAAGAAACGGAGATAAGATATCTCAGTAATATCTGTAAAATACACTCAAAACCAACATTAAATATCCTCATTTTTGTGCAAAAATGAGCGTACTACATTTCATAATGATTTACAACCTTACTGAATAATAAAAAACGCTAAAACGTGCCGTGATTTTGCATAAGAAACAGATTGGCAGTAACAAACGTTGTCATAAGAACTCCAGGACATATTTTGAGTTATTACAAGAACTCCGGGACATTTGAAAATCGGGTATAAATTTGTTAGCCGGGGCTTTATGTTTGCAATTTTTGCATTATAATTAGGTACTTATGTATGGCAAGGATGAAGACTTGAAATAAACAGGCCAATACTTGCGAATTAGCAAATAATTTGGAAATTTTACTTAAAACTACCAGATTTTAAGCATAAGGCGATGAAAAATAGACTATGAATTAGTTTTTGACACATAATGCAATATAAGGCAAGCTTAATCATTAAATTTTAATTTAGCACATAAAACCCACTTTTTAAAGATGAAAATTACCATTTTAACTAGTGTTTTTGCAGTACTGTATATACAAAAGTTTTCCGACACGAACTCCGTGACAGTTATCACAGGAACTCCTTGACAAGTTATCATAAGAACTCCATCCTTCGTGTAACACTTCCTCCCCCGTGTTTTTTTTTCTAAAATCAAAGAAAAGTTGCACAAAGAGGAGTATTTGTCAATATATTACTCATGTCAAAAATTCAAAGGGTCATAATTCTGCCAAAAATGTTGAGAAAACACCGCCAATATGCGCCATGGCTCTTGATGGGGTACTTTTGTGTGAGTTTAGTGAAGAGCTATAGAGCAATGTAAAAGGAATTGAACACATAAGTGTATTGCAGTTATATTGCTTTTTGTTGTTGTTGTTTTTTAGTTTTTTAAAGGAAGATAATTTAAAATAATTTTTATAAATAAAAATGTTTGAACTAAGGATCATAACACCCCCAAAATCGCAAAACAGATAATATGCGCCAAAGCACATGATAACAAAACTTCTGTGAAAGTTTGTTCAAAGTCCCTTGTGAAATTTAGTTGTGTTAAAAATGTTTACACCCGCCCGTCCGCATGATAATAAATGCAACACGCAGCTCACATTGTGAATAACGACGTCCCAAAGTATTCACCACCGACTCGTGCACAAAATAAAACACTAGTTTTTCTTCAAATTCACTTAACCATACAATTTTTAAACGATGGAATTTATCTTTTATCCATTTAAGTTTGATAAGCATTCTATTTGAGTCAAACCTATGATTTCCCAAAAGTATATTCGACTCATGCTAGGATCAATCTATTTTGAAAGCCATATGATGAAAATATATAAATGTACTCAAATATATTAAAAACAAGGTATAATAATATCGGTATACAATCATTGACTAGTGAGCTATGGAATGATATATTCACCGTCAGTAAGTCAATATTGGATGGGGCATCCGTGGCCGAGTGGTTGAGGTAGCTGACTTTAAACGATTTGCCCCTGACTGCTGATGGTTCAAATCCAGGCAGGGACTTAGGATTCATGTGAGAAAGCTATCCTGGATGAACTAGCTTACGGAAAGTCGGTGGTTCTACTCAGGGGAACGTTCGCGCCTGAAATTATGCAAGGAAGGGGTCTTCTTCCACCAGTTAAGCATATGACATATAGTCGACATATGAACTATGTGTTTGTGTGACGTTATACCAAACCAAGCCAAAAGAATGTCAAATCGCGACCACCGGCCTAAAATGGTCAATGATCACCAGTATTAGTTCACCCTCTGTTTAATATTGCAGTAGAGAGCGTACATGATTGTAAATTGCACCTAAAAAATATTGCCGTTTTCTTTGCATCCTCTATATCTTTTTTATAAGAAACGACAACTGTGTTGGATTATTGTCATATGTGCACCAACGGTTTTTGCCCTTTGAATCTAGTTCGAAATTGTGGTTTTTGCCTTTTGCATCTAGATCAAATTTATTGTGCTATGCGTCTGTAAATACATAAATGCTGTAAATGTAATGAAATAGCAAGGCAGGTTATATTTTGTTACAGATTTGCAAATATTCGACAAAATGTGTTAAATATCTTTTTATAATATTTTGAGCTTCATTTCCTAAAATTCTTAATTTTGTATTATATATATATTTTTTCCTGCTTGACACAGAAACGCCAGTCATAATAAGTAGTTTAGTGAAATTATTAAAAACACAGACAAAAAACCCACTTTATTTTACACATTACAAAATATAACAAATAATCTTCAAGCATTTTCACAATCTCATATACCAGGTTCCCGAGGGACGGATATTCCAATCTGAAACGCAATCATATATTTGTTTCTTGCATATTCTACCATATTCTATCATATTTTAAATTCTTGACCTTAAAACAATTTTCCATGGAAATGTATGTCATTACACCCGTACATCAGTGTATGAAATTACAATTTCATTCAAAACTGCGAAATAACGTCATCCTAAGCATGCCATTGTATAGCACGCGACTCATCTGGCTACCCTAGGAAACACCAGTCTGATATGCAAGAAATACTCTATCAAATCGCTGTAATAGTTTATGCTTATAAATGAAAGTCTGGGTTTGTATTTAGTGATATATAACCTATATAATTACTTAAACTAAAGTATGTCACTCATATAGTGTTGTATCATAGCTTTGCCGATTTTTTGTAGCCTACGTATTAATGTATGAGTCCGTAAATTTCCTTTTAAATGTATTGTGTATCTTTTTTTCCACCGCCATGATGACATTATTCCGCAGTTAAACTCATTTTTTAAGTAACAACTGCGGGTAACCTTCGATCGATCGATCGTATTTTAAGCACCATAAGAAAGAGGATTGTAAGGAAATTTATGAGTTGACAAATCTAATTTCATCAGTTCAAACGACACTTGATATATTGTCCTTGCAACAGGGAACACTTTCAGGGCTTACTCACTTTCAGTAATTAAACAATAATCACATTTATTGTTATTTTATTTCCAGTGTCAAGATGTTTTCCAAGTATTTCTCTTTATCCATATACATGTATATATAATGTAACATGAAGGGGCTGATATATTTTATATAAATAAAAAAAACAACACTTTCATGTAAAGAGAATAAGGAAGATATTACTTCACGTTGGTTTCATTGTTTAATTTCCCGGACACAAAATATTAATATAATTAAGTGGTTAGTGGTTGTGTGTAGGACACTCGAAGCTGTTGAGGGGAAAAAACAAATCGAAATAATTTTGTCTTGTTTTAAAACAATTATTGCTGTTCAACTCGTTTATTGAAAATGCCAGTTTTGATTACAAGTGGCTGTGTTAAGTTGTTGAGAGAAACTAGAAATTAATGATGATCAGGTAAAACTGAATAAAAATTGAGAGATTCTGACTAAATTGGCTAAATTTCAGTAAAAGTAAAATTGCAGCTACGTGTTGAATGACCACCATAAAACATGATGTTGAGAGTAAGAAATCATTAAATGTCTTTTTCTACAGATAACTACCATTCCTTATTTGTCCGCGTTTTTATGACAATGAATAAAGATTATAAAAGAGCTTTTATTATAAAAATAGATAAATGTCTGCATAACACTGTATGTTTCTATTGTCTGTGTTTATCGTTAGTACTAAATACTATATTGTCTGCGTTTTACTGTATGTCCTATTGCTATGTTGTCCTCAATATTAATTGGTTTCCGATGTAGCTCTTTTATCTGCACTTACATAAATTCATATATATACGAGCCGTGACATGACATTTCCAAAATAGTGGTCAAAATTTGACATTTGACATTTTTCGAAGATTCTCAAAATGCAATCTTTTCTAACTCATTCAAGACAAATTTTATTATTTTTGGACAAAGAAAACTTGATTTGTAACGCTTTTGAACATTATTACCTCGCGCCTGGAAACGCATGGTACATCATACTTATCATACTAATAACAGAACTCGGATCATGTGACGCCGCTGCACGCATCAGTTAGCGCGGCTTTTATACAAGATTATGTAATAAATGAGACCGTGCGAAAAGAATCAAGATTGGGAAAGGCCCCGTGTTCACCAGGACGGATAAGGATCAAGATCAGAATCAACATATAAGGAAAATCAATGACTGACCAGGACACGGCAAATTTTTACCCAATGCCTTCGTTTGAACAACTTGGTAGACATCCACTAAAAGATGTTTCATGCTTTATATTTAAGCTCTAGTTATTTGTGTGTGTTTTTTTTTTTAAAAAGATCTTTTACTTTATACATATAAGGAAAATCAATGACACCCACATGTTGGGCCAATTTTGACCCCAGGGCTTTTATCGGAACATTTTTGGTTGACACTCATTCATGCAAAATATCTAAGCTCTAGCTCTTAGGGTTTATAAAAAGAAGATTTTTTAAGTTTTTCTTTCGGTTGCCATGGCAATCAGAGTTCTGCATGGAATTAAATTCTTTGAACAATTTTTAAAGGTGACCACCAAAGAAACATTCCTGTCAAGTTTGGAGGAAATTGGTTTATGAGGAGATGTCGTTTAAAGTAAAAGTTTACGAACGGACGACGGACGGACTTTTGAAATAATTCAAAGGACTAATTTTGACTATTTCCATTACCACAGCAACAGGATTTATACTGACTTAAGGAATAACAAGAGCCACTGCGGGCGGGGCAAACTCAACTGTTTTACTTTTTCTAATAGCAAAAAAAAAAATCAACAAATAAATAAAAAGACATTTTATTTTTTTATTTTGATTGGTCTATCACATGTTTATTCTGTCCAAGTATGAATCTTTTTTTGTTTTTGTTTTAACGTCACATCAACACAGTATAGGTATATCGCGACTTTCCAGCTTTACTGGTGGAGGAAGACCTCAAGTGCCCTTCCGTGCATTATTACATCATACAGGAAGTATGAATAATTTCCATATATAAATTATAAAGTTAAGAAAATATATCTGACCTTGAATTTCTATGCTAGTAGATGTTGTGTCTCAATATGCAGTTAATCCATTTATTAATAACAGAATTATAGCCAGTCAAAGGATAAACAAGATAATTTTATCAATTTGACCTTGACAGTCAAGGTAAATTAAAGGTCAAGGTTTAACATCTTTATTATTTAATATATTTGTTTGGTAGCAAGTCATGTTTTATCTAAAAATAAATCAAATCCGTTCCTAAATAACAAAATTATGACAATGTTACCAAAATTTAATAACTTGACACTGACGGTCAAGGTCATTTCAAACTAAAGGTCAAAATCAGTTAACCCTTGAAGAAGGTCTTGTCCAGCAAAAAAAAAAAAAGAAAAAGAAAATTATTCAATAATTTGACTTCAAGGTCAGGGTCATTTATGAATGACGGTAAAGGTCTGCCTGGTTAACTTGAAGGTCTATTCTTAAAGATTTAGTGTTTAAGCCTGAAGATATCTGAAGACAATCCATTACAAATTCCAAAGTTTTAGCCACAAATAGCAACAAAAGGGACAAAATAGCCCTAGATCGCTCACCTGACCCATCGTAATCATCCGAGCAATTACCTAGACAAGCATCCTGACCAAGTTTTATGACAGGTGAGTCAAAAATGTGACCACTAGAGTGTTAACAAGGATTTTCCATATTTGAGCAGTGTGACCTAGCTTTTGACCCCAGGTGGCCCATATTCAAACTTGACCTAGAAATTATCAAAACAAACTTTCAGACTAATTTCCAGGATATTTGGATCAAAACAGTTGCCACTAGTGTTATCAAGATTTTTCAATTCTGTGCTCCTGTGACCTAGTTTTTCATCCAAAATGACCCATGTTCGAATCATCCAAGCAATTACCTAGACACGCATCCTGACCAAGTGTGATGACGATTGAGTCAAAAATGTGACCACTAGAGTGTTAACATGTTTTTTTTTTCCATATTTTGGCAGTTTTTTTTGTGACCTAGGTTTGACCCCAGGTGACCCATATTTGTACTTGACCTAGAAATCATCAATACAAACTTTCAGACCAATTTCTAGTATATTTGGATCATAACAGTTGTCAGTACTAGTTGTGTTAACAATATTTTTCTATTTTTAGCTCCTGTGACCTAGTTTTTCATTCGAGATGACCAAGCTGATTCGAGCAATTACCTAGACAAGCATCCTGACCAAGTTTGATTATGTTTGAGCCAAAAATCTTAACAAACAAATGTGGATGGATGACGGACATTCAACAATCCTAAGCTAGCTCAGATGAGCTAAAAAAAACAGCAAAAATCATGCAAAATTTAGACATTTGACCTTGAAGGTCTAGATAATTTCTTGCATATCAGATAGGATTATCTAACGTTTACACCGGTGCTAGAAAACCCTGTCTTACACCTCCATATAAGACAAGTCGCGTGCTTTCAATGACGTCATTGCTGCTCGCCTTTTATGAATGAATTGCGATCTTAGGATGACGTCACTTAACCGTTATGAATGAAGTTGTACGTTCAAACGCTTCTATAAGAAAAAAGTGCGTAATAAGAATATCAGTTTTGTAATTTCTGTTCTGAAAATAATTGGTATGAAATATGCAAGAAAAAGAATCAAACGCCGGCTGTCTGTACAGACAGGAATATCTAGCTCTCGGGTAACTGTTAGCGAAACTCGGCAGAGCTTCTTTACCGCCGTAAACAGTCACCCTCGAGCTAGATATTCCGGTCTGTACCGGCAGCCAGTGTAAGATTAATAATTTATGAATGAAAGAAAAGTTTAGTCTTATCTACTTGAAGGCCTTGCCCCAAGAGTTGTTGTGGCCAAGTATGACGACAATACAACAACAACTTATATGATCAAGGTTAAAGTTTGTGGACAGCATACAGAACGCCACCATGACAGCAACAATACTTCTTTTTTTTACTTTGAAAAATAGTCAGGCTAATAAAAAAACACAAATAATTTTTACATGTCCAACTATGCAAACACAAAGTCTAAGTTTAATCAGTCTAGTATTTTTGGATAAACTAACTGTTCCTCTATATTACAATATTGTATTACATAGAACAGATAAGCTTCACTTTGATCCACCAAACCCTGCAAAATTCCTATTCAAGATTATCTCTTTGCAATAGTCCTTTTCTTCCAGCTGATATAACAAATTCATAAGGATTTCTGATTGGTTCGATTTTTTTAACAAATTCTTTTATCAAACTGTACTTTGAAATATCTGATTTGGAAAATCCAGACTCAATGACTTTATTGATTGTCAGTTTGTGTCGAAAAAACAAATGATGGTTCAATAAAATCCACATCAGGACAATACCTGCATATTTATCAGGTGAATTTTCATCAGGTCTCAATTTAGTCAGTTCTCGTGGTGAATACAACTCATCTGTTTTGGGATTATATATATAAAAAAGTGAAGTCCTCATTCCTGATCAAGATAGTTGGGACTAAGGGACTCTTCTCTGGATGTCTATTGCATTCTGTCCATGCAAAAACTATTGCTTGGCCAACTATCTGACAAAGGTCTTGCCCTCTGTATATACAGTCATTTTTCATATCCATATTTGGCCGATAACCAGGTGTGTCTGTAAGTTCTTGATCTACACTTTCTTCTTCCTCATCATTGTTTGCTGTGTTCACTTGAATAGCAGCTGACTCATTTCCCGCAAGAAGGTCCAACTCACCATGCCATATTTCATTATTACCTGTGAAAATATAAAACAAGAGGGCCATGATGGCCCTGAGGTCGCTCACCTGTATATAGGCCCCCCACCCCCCCCCCCCAACGTTGCAGGGTCAATTTAACCCAAAGGCTTTTATTTGCACAAACTTGGTTGACACCCATAAGAAGATGTTTCATGCTAAACATCTAAGCTCTAGCTCATTGGGCTTTTTAAAAGAAGATTTTTTTAAGTTTTTACTATACACATATAGTTAAAAACAATGACACCCCTGGGGCCGGGCCAGTTTTGACACCAGGGCTTTTATTTGAACAAACTTTGTAGACACTTACTAGAAGATGTTTCATGCTTAATATCTAAACTCTAGCTATTTGGGTTTTTCAAAGAAGATTTTAAGTTTTTGCTATACACATATAAAGAAAATCAATGACCCCCGGGGCGGGGCCAATTTTGACCCCAGGTCTTTTATTTGAACAAACTTTGTAGACACTCACTAAAAGATGTTTCATGCTTAATATCTAAACTCTAGCTATTTGGGTTTTTTCAAAGAAGATTTTTTAAGTTTTTGCTATACACATATAAGGAAAATCAATGACCCCCTGGGGCGGGACCAATTTTGACCCCAGGGCTTTTATTTGAACAAACTTGGTAGACAACTATTAGAACATGTTTGATGCTAAATATCTTAGCTCTAGCTCTTTGAGTTCTTTAAAAGAAGATTTTTTAAGTTTTTACTATATGCATATAGGGAAAATCAATGACCCCCCGGGGCGGGGCCAATTTTGACCCCAGGGCTTTTATTTGAACAAGCTTGGTAGACACTTATTAGAACATGTTTCATGCTAAATATCTTAGCTCTAACTTTTTTGGTTCCTTAAAAGAAGATTTTTTAAGTTTTTACTATATGCATATAGGGAAAATCAATGACCCCCCGGGGCGGGGCCAATTTTGACCCCAGGGCTTTTATTTGAACAAACTTGGTAGACACCTATTAGAACATGTTTGATGCTAAATATCTTAGCCATAGCTCTTTGAGTTCTTTAAAAGAAGATTTTTTTTAGTTTTTACTATATGCATATAGGGAAAATCAATGACCCCCCGGGGCGGGGCCAATTTTGACCCCATGGCTTTTATTTGAACAAACTTGGTAGACATCCATTAGAACATGTTTCATGCTAAATATCTTAGCTCTAGCTCTTTGGGTTCTTTAAAAGAAGATTTTTTAAGTTTTTACTATATGCATATAGGGAAAATCAATGACCCCCCGGGGCGGGGCCAATTTTGACCCCAGGGCTTTTATTTGAACAAACTTGGTAGACACTCACTAGAAGATGTTTCATGCTAAATATCTAAGCTCTAGCTCTTATGGTTCTTTAAAAGAAGATTTTTTAAGTTTTTACTATATGCATATAGGGAAAATCAATGACCCCCCCGGGGCGGGGCCAATTTTGACCCCAGGGCTTTTATTTGAACAAACTTGGTAGACACTCACTAGAAGATGTTTCATGCTTGATATCTTAGCTCTAGCTCTTTGGGTTCTTTAAAAGAAGATTTTTAAGTTTTTACAATATGCATATAGGGAAAATCAATGACCCCCTGGGTCGGGGCCAATTTTGACCCAAGGGCTTTTATTTGAACAAACTTGGTAGACACTTATTAGAACATGTTTCATGCTAAATATCTTAGCTCTAACTTTTTTGGTTCCTTAAAAGAAGATTTTTTAAGTTTTTACTATATGCATATAGGGAAAATAAATGACCCCCCGGGGCGGGGCCAATTTTGACCCAAGGGCTTTTATTTGAACAAACTTGGCAGACACCTATTAGAACATGTTTGATGCTAAATATCTTAGCCATAGCTCTTTGGGTTCTTTAAAAGAAGATTTTTTTTAGTTTTTACTATATGCATATAGGGAAAATCAATGACCCCCCGGGGCGGGGCCAATTTTGACCCCAGGGCTTTTATTTGAACAAACTTGGTAGACATCCATTAGAACATGTTTCATGCTAAATATCTTTGCTCTAGCTCTTTGGGTTCTTTAAAAGAAGATTTTTTAAGTTTTTACTATATGCATATAGGGAAAATCAATGACCCCCCCGGGGCGGGGCCAATTTTGACCCCAGGGCTTTTATTTGAACAAACTTGGTAGAAACTCACTAGAAGATGTTTCATGCTAAATATCTAAGCTCTAGCTCTTATGTTTCTTTAAAAGAAGATTTTTTAAGTTTTTACTATATGCATATAGGGAAAATCAATGACCCCCGGGGCGGGGCCAATTTTGACCCCAGCGCTTTAATTTGAACAAACTTGGTAGACACTCACTAGAAGATGTTTCATGCTTAATATCTTAGCTCTAGCTCTTTGGGTTCTTTAAAAGAAGATTTTTTAAGTTTTTACTATATGCATATAGGGAAAATCAATGACCCCCCGGGGCGGGGCCAATTTTGACCCAAGGGCTTTTATTTGAACAAACTTGTTAGACACCTATTAGAACATGTTTGATGCTAAATATCTTAGCCATAGCTCTTTGAGTTCTTTAAAAGAAGATTTTTTTTAGTTTTTACTATATGCATATAGGGAAAATCAATGACCCCCGGGGCGGGGCCAATTTTGACCCCAGGGCTTTATTTGAACAAACTTGGTAGACACTCACTAGAAGATGTTTCATGCTAAATATCTAAGCTCTAGCTCTTATGGTTTTTAAAAGAAGATATTTAAAGTTTTTTCTTTCGGTTGCCATGGCAACCAGAGTTCTGCACGGAATTAAATTCTTTGAACAATTTTTAAAGGTGACCACCAAAGGAACATTCCTGTGAAGTTTGGGTGAAATTGGCTTAGTGGTTTATGAGGAGATGTCATTTAAAGTAAAAGTTTACGGACGGACGGACGGACGCCGGACGAAAAGCGATCACAAAAGCTCACCCTGTCACTTTGTGACAGGTGAGCTAAAAAAGTCAAGTATTGAATGTATTTTTAAATGTTCTGTACTATGATCAAGAGCTATCAGAGAAATCAGCACATAGCTTTGCATCCTGTCAGGGACTTTGGTTTATTTTATGCGAATAGCTTACCCTCCTAGCTTACAGAAGGTAGGTGGTATAAATCAGAAGCAGGCTCATGCCAGAAAAAAAAGTACACTGAAGAGCACCTGATCCAAAATCCAACAAATGAACAAACAAGTTATTAGAAGTTTGAGAATAACTGATTTACCCTCTACTTTAGATAAAGTAAATAAGATTTCCAAAATTCCCCTCTTGAAATCATGATGGAAAAGTGAAACAACTGAAACTGCATCAACAAATTTTAAATGTATCTCAATTCCTGACACAAAATAACACTTAGATGTCTACTAATTTTAGATCAAGGATAACATTTATATAATAAATTTATGAATAAATAATGCAAAAGTAACCCGTAATTAAATAAGCAAATTCATTACATTGACATCCCCTGTAAAATGATTCAAAGATATAAGATATAATACAAAATGTAGCTCTAAAACAGTGTGCATGTCATTAATGAGATAAATACAACTGTGAAAATTCAAATTGATATATATCCAATACTTTATGAGTCACCTTATAGTTACTTGGATTAAATATGTAAAATAGAAAGGACAAAAGCCATGTCAACATGGCCATCCCCCGCCGAATGTGTTTGCTCATTGGAAGAATGTATATGTAGTATAGCAGAATAATTCAATTTTAAGAGGTCTTTTGGTAATGAAAACTGATGGCTGAAGTGATTACAGATTTGAAACCTATGTGAATACTGATGGCTGAAAATAACAAAGGGCAATAACTGAAAAATAATGCAGGGTAGGTTATCATTCTTGTATGTTGCACCCCTCCTCAGTAAAATCTATCCACCTATGAAGTTTCAAGTTGATACCTCAAATACTTCTTGAGATAAGCTCCGGACAAAATAGTATGAAAAAGAAACAAGAGGGACATGATGGCCCTGAGGTCGCTCACCTGTATATAGGCCCCCCACCCCCGGGCCAATTTTTACCCAAGGGCTTTTATTTGTTTATTTGAACAGACTTGGTAGACACCCATAAGAAGATATTTCATGCTAAACATCTAAGTTCTAGCTCATTGGCATTTTTAAAAGAAGATTTTTAAAGTGTTTACTATACACATATAGTTAAAAACAATGTCACCCCTGGGCCAGGGCCAGTTTTGACCCCCGGGCGTTTATTTTAACAAACTTTGTAGATATTTACTTAAAGATGTTTCATGCTTAATATCTAAACTCTAGCTATTTGGCTTTTTCCAAAGAAGATTTTTAAGTTTTTGCTATACACATATAAGGAAAATCAATGACCCCCCCCCCCGGGGCGGGGCCAGTTTTGACCCCAGGGCTTTTATTTGAACATACTTGGTAGACACCCATTAGAACATGTTTCATGCTAAATATCTTAGCTCTAGCTCTTTGAGTTCTTTAAAAGAAGATTTTTTAAGTTTTTACTATATGCATATAGGGAAAATCAATGACCCCCTGGGGCGGGGCCAATTTTGACCCCAGAGCTTTTATTTGAACAAACTTGGTAGACACTCATTAGAAGATGTTTCATGCTAAATATCTTAGCTCTAGCTCTTTGGGTTCTTTAAAAGAAGATTTTTTAAGTTTTTACTATATGCATATAGGAAAAATCTATGACCCCCTGGGGCAGGGTCAATTTTGACCCCAGGGCTTTTATTTGAACAAACTTGGTAGACATTCACTAGAAGATGTTTCATGCCAAATATCTAAGCTCTAGCTCTTATGGTTCTTTAAAAGAAGATTTTTTAAGTTTTTACCATATGCATATAGGGAAAATCAATGACCCCCGGGGCGGGGCCAATTTTGACCCCAGGGCTTTAATTTGAACAAACTTGGTAGACACTCACTAGAAGATGTTTCATGCTTAATATCTTAGCTCTAGCTCTTTGGGTTCTTTAAAAGAAAATTTTTTAAGTTTTTACTATATGCATATAGGGAAAATCTATGACCCCCTGGGGCGGGGTCAATTTTGACCCCAG